ATTAAATTTTGTTTTTTTTTTTTTTTTTTTTTTTTCATGCTCCTTATCTCCGTCTGCCATCCCACCTCCCGTCTCCTCCTCATCCTCCACATCTAGGAAGATCAAGTCTCCGGCGGAGAGGCATGCCGAGACCTGCGAGGACTACTCGCCCTGTCGCTCCTACGCCTACCGCTTCGGTTACCAGCAGGCCTACCAGAAATACTTTACCTCACGGAGTCAGCCACAGAATCCACAGAGACCCACGAGACCCCAGAGACCCCAGAGACCAGCGGCGGTCCGTCGATACTAAACACCAGAAACAGAAGATTCCTCATGGATCCACATAGAGAATCCTGTTTTGGTTTTTTTTTTTTGTTTGTTTTTTTTTTACATATTACCCCCTTGGTGTCTTTATGTGTTTGAGGTTCTTTTCTGGACGGGTCACGTGACAAACCTCCCACAGACTGACCCCGGTCTGGTGGTGACCCCAGTCTGGTGGTCTGACCCGTCGTTATAACCATGTAGTAACTGACGTTGTTTACTCTGTTGTCACATCATTTATCGTCATCTCTGCGTGTTTCTGCCTCTCCGTCGAACTAACCCTTTCCTACGATATCTAACTTACTTACTTACTTACCCCGGCCGGCGCGGCTGCCAGTGATTATTTCTACGGCTTTGGAAAAAAAAAAAAAAAAAAAGGAAGAAAATAAAAGTCCCCACAGTGGGGTTTTTTTTTTTTGTCTAAATCCTGGTGAGAGCGTTTTCTTGGCCACGGGGCCGTGTGGGAGTGGGTGCCAGTGTCTGCAGCGTGTGGCAGATGTTGAAACCATCCAGAGTGTGTGTGTGTGTGTGTGTGTGTGTGTGTGTGTGTGTGTGGACGGAGGAGAAATAAAGCAGAAACAGAGGAGTTTCACCAAGTTTTTATTCAAATTACAGTGGGGTTAATGAGAATTAACAACAGAGACACTAAACTTTCACTCAACACAAGCTCACTGTAAAAAAAACACACAAAACATTATATAAAAAAAGTATCAACAACAAACTACAGTGGGTTAATTAAAGATCTTAATTTCCCTGGATGAAAACTGTGAGAGTTTTATTTCCATGAACCTGGGGTTTCCAAAACATTTTCTGCAGAGTTCACCCCCCCTCACCCTCTCTCCCCCCACCCACCACAACTACACTACATTCTCATCTATTGCTTAAAATCTCCACCAAAGTTAATTTAAATTTTTTTTTGTTTACAAAAAAGGAAATAAAAGAACAATCAGCGTTTTCTCTATAAAAGAAATCAGAGGAAATATGGATTTGTTTTTTTGCTTAACAGCGCCACCACCATCCCACACATGCAATAGTTCCACGCCTCCCAAATGGACCCGCCCTCCACTTTGGGAACCACTGTCATGCGATAACGATTACTGTTGGTTTTACGACTCCTTTAATGACTAAACTGCAGCTTCAAGTTGTTGTTTTCTAACCTATTCATGTTGCGTTGCACTTGCAATGACATTTTGAGCACTTATATAAAGGCGTAAGTGATCACCCATATGTGAGGAAGAAAAAAAAAAGGGTGTTGAACCGGACGAGAAATTACTTCAATAACATGCAGTGATGCAGTGATTTTCTCAGCCAACTCTCTGTCGTGGTCGTAAAATGGAGACTCGTATGAAGTTACTGAAAACAGGAAAGTAGTTCCGGCTGCATTTGAGCCGCAGATCTCTGGCTGGTTATTTATACATCTACGGTTTCAACCAGCGTTTATTAACCTTCCCCAATAAAAAAGAGTCAAACAGCCGCCTCGGCAGTAAAGAACGTTCAGCCTATAGATGTGCAGCGTAATTACTCCCAGCCTCTGGTGGGCGCTGGGTGAAGTAAGGACGTGTACAATAGTACGTTTAGTTAGCAGTACTGACATTATTGAATTTGGTTTTTCTGCAGCCTCAGGAAGAATCTGAGCTGAATCTGCAGACAAAGACAGATCAGCACAATGGAGACTTTAGCAAATAACATGGGTTTTCTCTCTCTCTCTCTCTCTCTCTCTCTCTCTCTGTGTGTGTGTGTGTGTTGCTACAAAGCCACAATTGCACACAATTGAAGTTTGAGTTCTTGAAGTCTGTTACTGAAACGAGTCGAGGCACCGACCTTGACCAGACGCTGAAATTGCAGCTCAACTTGTGAGTCTCTGAGTCTAAATATTCACACAAAAATGCCTTTGAAAGTTTCCTTTTATATATATATATCGTTCATTAACCTTGAAATGTTGGGGGGGAGGGGGGAGGGAGGGTTTGGAGACGTGCTCGACTTATCGTGGTGTAAGTCAGGATCATATGAATCCAATAAAATACCAGATAATCGTGGTTTGTCGAGACTTTAAAATGAAATGACATGTTTCACTCACTCTTATTGGTTTATAGGCAAACCACCTAATGGTAAATATACGCCTCCGCTTTTCAATTACCCTCCTACAGATGTTCAAACATCCAGATTTTGTTTCTAAATTTCGCTGTCTTTATGCAGGAAATCACCGCGGTTTGCAATAAAAGAAGAAAACCTTGGATTTAAACCGTGTCGCTCGATGAGAGACTTGGTTCCAGAGACTGGTCTGCCAGATGGAGGAGCCAGCGGGCTGCCGGGGAAACTCTGACCTCTTCGGGCCGTGAGTGGATACTGCACTTTTTAAAACTTTTTACCGCTCAGTTGCTTGCTGACTCACGGTCTGACAGCAGCCAATCAAAATCAAGTGTAGGTGTAGATTTTTTGTGTGTGAATATTTGATGGTTTTTTGTTAGGAACATTTGCTTGAATATATGTTCTATGTTATTTATTTTTAAATTTTTAAATTTCAATGCCCTCAGCTTAATTAATTTACCACTACTGTAAAAATATATATTTGCAGTATTTTTAATCTGTTCACTTTTAAACATAACTTGTTGTTATTCACATATAGTATGAAAATACATCTTATTTTTTCTTTACAATCCTTTCATTTAACTAAATGTAAATCTAAACCTGGCCATTGTTGGGTTTGATTATCAACCAAATAGTTTATTTTTTTACGTATTAAAATTCAAAAATATTTCCAGAAATCAAATACAAACATGGATTAAGACACAAAAACAACCAGAATTCCCCTAATGTTTTTACATTGATAACAATCGGTCTCAAATGTTTCCGATCCTGTTACCGGAACTCCTTTTTTGTTTTTGTCGCTGCCTAAAATCCTGTAAGACGATACTCCACCAACACCTGGAACTGGTGCCAGACAATGGTGTATTAGAAAACAAAACAAGGACAAATTTTCTTCAAGAAAAATCCCCGACTATGAAAACAAAGTCGGACTTTAAGTCATAATCACTGCGTTCAACTGAAGTACAGGTGAAAAACTTTGAATTTGAAGTCACGTCAACGACACACCCGGGCATTGTTTTTATGTAGCATGATTTGCATAAAATTAGCCCAAAAAAAAGAAGCTACCGCTAATATCAAAAGACAATTAAAATAGAAAAGAATAGAGAAATATTTACTACAACAATTACAATATTTAAAATCTATTTCCTCATAGCGAGGAGCTGAACTCTTCTCTGATCTTTGTGGACTTCCCCCGTGCCGCGCCCCCTACCCTGAGAATATTCTGCACTAGTGTTGACCTAGAACTGGTCGGAAATGTTGGACTGCACGAATGTCCCCTTTTTTTAAATGTATTCCATGGTTGGATTAACTGGAGACGGGGGGAGATGTCGAGGATTCCTGATCATCCCAGCAGGTGGCGCTCACATCAGTGTGAAAAAAAAAACAACAACTCTCTCTTTTGTTTTGAAACCTACGCTGACATCAGTGTGAAAAAAACAACTCTCTCTTTTGTTTTGAAACCTGCTCAGCCAGTCTGACGGTGTTGACGGGAAGAAGGGGAAAACCTCGGTGCGTCTCCGCCCGCACCGTCGTTCACACGCCTATTAGCTGAACTATAAATACTGACATAATGGTGCGTTCTTTTAAAGAATGATAATAAAGTTGTGGAAACTCCTGTGGCTGGAAGATGAACTCCTGCCCTAGCTTTAGCCACAGTCACCCCCCTGAAATGGACCAAAAGTAAAAAGTACATATTATATCACACTGAGTATTTTTACTTGAGTGTATGTTTACGTGATCAGTGTAACATTGCCCCGAAATGGACCAAAAGTACACATTATATCACACTGAGTATTTTTACTTGAGTGTATGTTTACGTGATCAGTGTAACATTGATTTTCTCATAGAAATATCCATTAGGTATATTAATACATACATATGAAACATATAATAACATATATTGTCAAATATGTGTTGCACTATTCCATGACTTTGCACAAAAAATCCAAAAATAGTTTCGATGTAAACTTTTAGCTATAGTCAGAATCAGTTCGGTTCAGTTCTGTTACCTTCTATTCCATTATATTTAGTTCTTTTCTGCTCATGTAAAGGCTTAAAGTCTCATCTTATGCAGATGATGTGCACGTTTACATGTTTTAATGTACATCTTCACACATTCTTTTGGCGGGTCAGAGGTCACGGCTATGAAACATAAGCTAATAGATGTAAATATCACTGCATGTGGTCCTGTATTGGAATAACAAGGGGACAAGACAGACGTGATGATCAAAGTGAGCCCCTGGTGGCGGTGCGTCAAATCTGCAGTTAAACCTTAACATTAAAGTGAGCAGCTATTTGTCACATGAACGTGTGTCAGGGATTAAATGTAAAAAAAGACTAGACTTAATAGACTTGGAACATAGATTAAAAAAAATAGATTTATGTTCAGTTAAACTGCCACAAAATCAGCTGCAAAAAGTTACAACTTGATTCTATGCTAATATGCTGCAGTGGCTGTTACTGTCTTTGTTTTCAGGTGTTTGATTCAGACACAGAAAAAATCACATCAAGTAATTTATGTCTCTGCAATTTTAATAATCCTTTTTTAATTTGCCCTGTACATCCTGACATTGACAAAGACCTAGTTTTGTTGTTTTTTTTACTAGAATTCAGTCTAATTTAATCTGAAAATCTTTGATAAGGCTTTCACTGGTAAATTCCCACCTTTTTTCCACCCTGCCCTTCAGATAAAATTCCATACACCTACACTCTAAATACAGCTCAGTTTTTTTTACTTCCTGCTCGACGTGTTTGTCTCCACTCTCGCTGTGGAAAGTCCGCTCCCTCACCGCTCAGACGGGTATAAAAGCGCCTCGGACGCTCGTCGGTGCTACAGATGCAAACATGGATCAGTTCACTTTCCTGAAGGAGAACCTGGAGAGAATCACGGTGGTGGAGAATTCATTTGGTCCCTCGGGGAGACCGTTGTCCAAGCCTGGCCGGTTCCTGGTGGGCGAGGGCCGCCTGCGCAAGCAGAACCGGAGGAAGACTCAGATGAAGGACTTCTTCCTTTTCAACGATATTCTGGTGTACGGCAGCATCATTCTGAACGGACGCTGGCACAAAAAACAGAGGATTATACCTTTAGGTGAGTCCACAGGTGACAGACGGGATCAAACTTAAGGGGAGGGATTGAAAGAATCATTGATAATAATCGAATTCTGCAAGAAATATTGACTTTGCATCGTATTAAAAAAAATGGAAAACTTTTTTTTTTAATCTTCTACACGGGTCAAAAAATAAGAAACATGTTTGTTTTTTTAATCTTCTACGTGGGTCAAAAAATAAGAAACAACTGTTTTCGTTTTTTTTTAAATTTTCTACACGGGTCAAAAAATAAGAAACAACTGTTTTCCTGATGTTGAAGTTTTCTTGAAGTAACTGGTTCATGTCTCCTTGTCAACAGAGGACCTGCAGCTGGAGGACTTGGAGGACGGTGAGGGACGCACCAACCAGTGGTTGATCCGTACGCCCCGCAAGTCCTTCATTGTGTCCGCCGCGTCCTCCGAGGACAAGCGGGCCTGGATGAGCCACATCTTGGAATACCGCGACCGCCTGCTGCAGGGGGGCACCTGCCAGCCCACCTCCACCTACGCCATGACTTGGATTCCGGACTGCGCCTCCTACAAGTGCATGCGTTGTCTGACCAAGTTCACCGCCACCAACCGTCGCCACCACTGCAGGAAGTGCGGCTTCCTGGTCTGCAAGTCCTGCTCCACGGCACGGGAGGTGATACCAAACATTCACCCCACCAAGAAACTGAGGGTGTGCTCCTGCTGCCGGACCACGGACGCAGAAGAGGACGAGGAAGAAGTGTCTCGCCTGAGGGCGGACAGCACTGAATCAGAAAACTCAGTGTGGGACGACATGGGGTCGTCCAGCAGTGGAGAAGACGAGGAGGTGGACCTGCTGCTCAGTCACTTTCCCAGCAGCTGGCTGGACTTTTGATTGGATCAGAATCTCATCTGGTCTTTGACTGCGAATGTGCACTAAAGAAAACCACCACAAGGGAAGAACCATGGTCGGTGGTTTTTGTTGGTTTGTTTTTTATTTATAATCATCACCATCAGGTGACGAGAAGAAAAAAGAAAAGTCATTTCTTTGAGAAAACTGTTACTTTAAATTAAAGAATTATTACTTATTGTATCGTGATCGTTGACATTTTCACATGTTTGTTTTCACTGTTGTGCTGTTATATATTTTTATTTCTAATATTTTCCTGCACATGTCACTCAGTAAGTGTTATCACAACACTGTGAATATGAATGAATTATTTATTTTTAAAAAATTCACAAACTCTGCTTTGAAATGATCGAATAAAAGCACTTTGAAATCAGTAACTCAGTTTGTTGTTGTTGTGTTTTAAATGTTGAGTGGAAACATTCCTGTCTAACTACTGTGTCGTAAGTAGAATATTTTATTGATTTTCAAAGGTTGGCGTTCATCAGAAGTCTATTTCAATCCAACAGTAAAAAAAGAAAATGACTTCAAACTGACAACATCGTTACATTAGACAATATGTCAATAAAATTATGGGTGAAATAAATAAGATAATAATAAAGAAAAGATAAATTAAACCTTTGTTGTATTTAACGTTTCCACGTCAGAAAATTTCAATTATTTAGACACTCGTATGTGTGCATCGAACCATAATAACCTTATAAAATGTCTCATCTTCATCATCATGGTTTAACTTTTTGACATAGTTTCAAACATTTCATGCTTCAGTTGTTGAGGTTGAAACTTGAGCCCTAATCCTGTCTGAACATGGGTGAGGCATTTTCTCGAAACATTTTCTATTTCCTGTTCGTCTCCGACTGAAGACAGGTTTTTTTTTTTGTTTGTTTTTTTGTGGTTTGTTCTGTTCCAGAGATTGAAATTCACACCCAGTTTGTGATGAACCTGCTGGTTTGTTGAAAGTGTCCTTTTTGAATGTTCCTGCTGGGAGCTGACGTCTTCCTGGTTGTGATCAAAATAAAACGTCTCACTGAATTCCCCTTCACCTTGACAAATGATGAGAAGTGCGTTGTTTTTGTTGTTGTTTCACTGGTCGTTACATCCTTGTCATCAGGACCTAGTTTTTTGGGGGCTTTTTTAGACTCAAAGTATGGAATTCCTCAACATGTTTTAAATACCAAAGGTAAATGACAGGTTGCAGTTCTTCTGTCTGTGCTGTAAAAGTTATATGCAAATACTGACACTTTTAAATGTACCTTTACCTTAATTAACTTCACAAATCTGTGTAGTTCTGCTTCTGTACCTGTGTTTTAATATGACTTTATTGTGGTTTTTAATACAGTAAGTTGGAGAAGAGCCTTTATTTTTTTTTATGACTGGAGTCTTAATTTAGAGCAAAACAGGACCGCGCCCCCTATATTGACCATTCTGAACCAATATGAACCTTGAATTACTTCCTTCCTTTTGACTTTCACGAACCTTGTGAAGCAGCGCATTGTAACAGTAGGCGTGATATTTGACTGTCGGATGGCGGCATCAAGTGGACACAAGTTGTATTACATGTGGATTTTTAAACTTGTTATATTTATTTATGATAAATCTTGTCTTTTTTTTTTTTTTACCTGTGAACGCTGATCTGACCCTCCAATGATATGACGATGTCAATAGTGGAGCTTAACTTATTTGAGTTTGAGACCACCGTATTGGTGTGTGTGATTCCTATGAATGTGTGTGTCCCACGGGTTTCAACAGGAATAACCCAATCAGCTCGTGTCTGGTCACCTCTGGACTTAATACCGTAACATGCCTATACATTTCTGGTAAAGCCCGGTGGGTCTAGTGCCTGTAAATGATGGATTAAAGATACGGGATTAAATAAAGTATGGGCCAAAAGGCAAACAAACAAAACATACAGTAAAAATAAAAATAATCCCGTGTTGTGTCACGGCCACATGTGGCAGCAGCGTGTCCGTGTCCGTGTCAGTGTCCGTGTCAGTGAGGAAGAGGAGGCTGCAGTCTCGGAGGAGATAAAGAGTCTGCAGTGCGTGGAGTTCTGGAAACAACTTGTCTAATCCTTCATCATGTGACTCATAGTAATAATCACTTCATTATGAAGTGACACTGAGGAGGAGGAGGAGGAGGAGGAAGAGGAGGCTGCAGGAGCAGAGGTGGCCCAGCAGTGAGTCCACGGACCTTCACGTCTTCACACGTCACACACCTGCAGTAAGTGACAATAAGATTGGAGTGTTGTTTTGTCTTTTTTTTTTCCTTCTTTTTTTTCTTCTCCTTTGATTTCTTTTGTTTTTATTCCTTATAAACAACAGTTAGATTCAATTCCCTGTTGAAGTTTTCTGACTGTAGTGACTTGACAACAACTCTTGTCAGTCCAGCAGCTGCTCCTGCTCACCGACACCAGGCGTCTGTCGTTGGCTGTTAATACTTTAAGCCGGCGGTTCATTCACAGCTCTGTGTGTGGCTGGTGGTTTTTGCGTAAATAACAGTTAATTGTCGGGTTGAGGGGAAAGAAAAAAAAAAAAACATGGCCTGCAACAGTTTTGACCTCTGACATCAGATATTCAAATGCAAATGAGCTGGTGAATCACGGCCTGGAAATCTGTCCTATAAATAAAGACACGGACCGTCCTGTTCTGTTCTGTTCTGTTGACAGGGCCTGACGGACGTCACCTCGCTGCCGAACACAAGAAGAAGAAGAAGAAGACGAGGAGCCTGGAAGTTTTTCATTGGCAGGTCCGAACCATATGATGTCCGTTGCCGGGGCGCAGCCCTTCATTAAACCGATGCAGTCGCCACCGTCCGTTTCTCCTGGGATCCAGCGGAGACACACGCTGCCCGCCAGTGAAGTGCGGCCGCTCAACACCCAGGACGCCACGAGCGTCTTTGAAATTGAGCGAGAAGGTGTGTGTTTACGATGTTTACGGTTAAAGTCGGTCAAGAGAAAGACGCGCGAAGAAGCGCCGTGCGTCAGAGCATTACGCACGGGGCGAAATGTTGATATTTATTGTTTTTATCTTCTTTTATTCTTACTTTAGTTGAATGTTGTTTGTCTTTACGTCTTTGGAGGTCGATGTTTGATTCTTAGTCGGTTTTCATCAGTCATGTTTACAGATGCTTTACTGTGCGTAAAAGTTGTTCCAAACATTTGGCGCGCGGTCCAACTCTCTCCTTGTCTTCTCCTCAGCCTTCATCTCAGTGTCAGGTGACTGTCCTCTTCACCTGGACGAGGTGCGTCACTTCCTCACACTTTGTCCCGAGTTTTCAATGGGCTGGTTTGAGGAGGGCCGGCTGGTGGCGTTTATTATCGGCTCCCTCTGGGACAAAGACCGGCTCAGTGCAGTAAGGACCCCTCTCCTCCCCCCTTCATTCATTCATTCGTTCTCTATCACAAACACACGCACCAAGTAATGACCTCTGACCCTGTCACTGCAGGAGGCTCTGACTCTCCACAAGCCCCGAGGCTCCACCGTCCACATCCACGTCCTGGCCGTGCACCGCACCTTCAGGCAGCAGGGCAAAGGCCCCATCCTGATGTGGCGTTACCTGCAGTACCTGCGCTGTCTGCCCAGTGTGCGCCGAGCCGTGCTGATGTGTGAGGACGTCTTGATTCCATTCTACCAGAAGTCCGGTTTCAAGGTGCTGGGCCGCTGCGCCATCACGGTGGCCAACCTGACCTTCACGGAGATGTGGTACCCAATCAGCGGCCACGCATACATGCGGCGCAACAGTGAAGCCATCCGCTTCCCGCAGCAACCGCTGAGCCTGCCGCTGGCAAAGACTGAGGAGAACGATGACGTGTGACCGCCGGATGCTGTTCCTTTAAAACAAACAAACAAACAAACAAAAAACCTGCCAAAAGTATAGCCCAGTATTTCACTCTGTTCCTTTATGCACTAATATTTATGTGAATTCATGTCTGTTCCCTTTCTATTGGCAGGAATTGGATATAAAAATTACTTAACTGTCGGTTTTTAATATTCATTGCTGATGACGATATATTTTTCGGTTTTTTTTCTGTGGTCAAAAATATGGCTTTGTTTTTTTGCACACGGTAGACAAATAACTTTGGTGTTTTTCTTATATGTTCTAGAGTTTTGTGTGTAGTATGCAGTATTTGAAGTAGAAATGAAGTAATAACTGGACGTGGGGGGGTGGGGGGGCATTAGTGTATTATTACCGGAAGTACAAGGACATATTAAATTTAAAACATTCCGCAAATGTTTTTAAGTTTCTGAAAATATATCTATATAAAAAAAGAAACGCTGTTTAAAATCTAAGTTTGTTCACTTCACTGACAAAAAGTTTAAACTTTAATTAAGACTTTTTATTTGTAGTTGTGGTTACGTCGTAAGAAATAATTCGACAGAAACTGTCCTCACTGTCACTGGACCGGGTGCAACACTGACCCACTGGGGGACCAAGTGCTGAGTTCCGTTTGTGTTTAATTACATTTACACCGGTGCAGCGCTGCGTTCATGCGAGACCGGTATATTTATGCGGTAAGCTGTCTCACGCTGAGCACCTTTCTGAGCTTCCCGCAGCTGTGGACTGACGTCACGCTTTAGCAGCTCAACCGCAGCTCCTCCAGCTCTATTAGGGGGCTTTAGCCGTTGTAAACGTCTGAGGATTTAAAAGAAGATCCACTCATCCGACCGACTCCTCCGATGACCTTACCTGAAACAAACACGCACTGTGTGTGCTACAGGTGCCGGGTCAGCAGCTTTTTAACCACGCGTAGCCACATGTTTGTGTTTTTGTTTTCCCTTTTTTTTTTTTTTTTAATATTTCTGTCTCTGTCTAAATTTCAGTTCGGTATTTTCTACACTTTTTGATCGAAGAAAGAAATGTTTTTGATTCTCTCACTGTGTCTACTCACACTTTACCGTAAAGTTATGCAAAATAAGTTTTCAACATTCACTTTCATTCATTGTTTTTCATTAAAATATATGCATTATTCGATGTTTTTGTTTTACTATATCGATTTCTGCTTCACGACAGACACTGGCACAAGAATGAAGGGAATGTTAATGCACAGTTTTAGAAGAAATTAAGAATGTTGAGATTGTGTGTAATTTGGAAACTAAGTCTAAGAATTTAGTCTCCACTGATCCAACTGAGACGGACTTTAAGACAACAACACCTCTAAAAAAACAAACAAAAACAAACAAAAAAAAAACCAACAACAAACAGATTCAGCCACAGAATATACATTTTAGGCATTTAAAAAACACACAAAAACAAACCAACAAACAGATCCAGCCACATAATATACATTTGAGGCATTACAGTTTTATTGCATTGTATTTTCCATTTGTAGAGTATTATTACTGAAATCCAATTTTCTGGGCCTAACTATACCAACGGTCAAGACAAAATAATCCATGAATGACTGAGCTTTTAGCTTTTATAATTATTTTCCTGATTGCAGGGCGGTCATCCATCAGCCCAGAGGATTGTCATTATCAGGGCCTCTTGTTGTGGATAAAACATCTGCACTGTTGCCAGACCAATTGACAACAACAACAATAATAATAATAATAATAATAATCCAGCAAAACAAAAAGGATCTTCCACTTATGACGCACATCACTCAGTGGTTCATTCAGTGCAAATATGTGGTTTGTGTTTCTGTCAGTGAGCTGTACACATTGTTATCAGGGCTTTTCAACAGTATGGTACGCGAGCAATTAAGTCATTCTTAAATACAATACAGCT